CCCAGGGGGACAGCTTGAGGCTCCTGTCTCGAAAAAAAAAGTTGACGAAGGTACCCTTCTAAACCTTATTTGTTATGTGTCTTTATCTAAATGAATGATCTTTTTGAAAAGTGATTTTTCCGTGTCCACTGACATGGTCATGTGTTTTTCCCCTTTATTAATATATAAAAGGATTTTTTTTCTCCTGATGCCAAATACCTGGTATCTTTTTCAACACCTCTCCTCCAATTCTCCAACACCAACCTCAACTCAATTCTGATCCTAAGTACCCAAAGTTAGCCCAAACCCCACAGGGTATGGGCTCAGTCCCATAAGACTGCCCCCACCTCGGATGCCAGCCACTAACAGGGTGTCCAGGCCACCCACATTTCTGCTCAGCCAACTACAAATTTGGAGGGGTCCCATTGACTCCCTCCTCAGGTTTGAGCATTCAATAGAATGACTTGTAGAACTCGGGAAAGCATTTTACTTACTATTTCTGGTTTATTATAAAGGATACAACTTAGGGAGAGCCAAGTGGAAGGAAGACATTGGGCAAGGTACAGGGTAAACATTCAATGAATATCTACTGCGTGAATGCTGCCCTCACAACAACAGCGTGGGATTGCTGAATGTTTTAGTTGTGTGTGTGGTTAGTGGGGTGGTGGGTGTTTCTGTAGCATCCCAGGTGAATTACCCCAGTCATCAAGGTCGATATCTCAGTGTCCTTCTGACTTGTATCAACCTCTTAGAAGTGGCCGTCCAGGGTTTCATACAGTTAAGCCTCCTTTGGTGTCAAACCAGAGCTGACAATTGTACAGCAATCTTATGACCTTGACGGGTTTAACATTCGTGGGAGCTAAATCAGACAAAATAGAGCTTTACCTTGCAAATGTTCAGGTCTAAAATGTTAATGCCAACTCCTAAGTGCCTTGTGCATCAGAAAGCTACAAAGAGTTAATTCCAAGAAGCCATTCCTATTAATCTTGGCGTCTGGATAAAAACTAAATTTGGGACCTCAATTACCTGATGGAGCCCCATGTAGATTTAGCCGGCAGTAATATTGATGAGGGCAGCAATCATTTCTCCCTCTTGGAGACCCAATTGCAATCCCATCCGAAGCAATCTGCCCTTCAAGTGCATCCGGAAGTGGGCATTATTGTCTCGTTTGTTCTGTTGTAGACAGAGTTTTTGGTGTCTGAATTTTTAACCCTCTATGCCCCACAGCACGGCCCTACCCGACTGAAGAAGGGAAATGAGACCACAAATATCTGAGTTTTGTTTTGCAGTTTAGGAAGCACTTAATTTTGTTTCATCTCAGTGAATGCTTGTCATTGCTTGGTAGGTAAATAGGTTTGGCTGCGTTCATTTGTCAGGTGAGGAAACTGAGGCTTGAAGAGGTTACGTCACTTGCCTGAGCCATTCAGCTGGTAAGGGGTGATGAGAGAGGGGATCCGAAACTGGACTTTCCGACTCAAGTTGTATCTATCTCGCTAGGGTTATAGGCGGCCGAGGAGGGGACTTCCTCAAACAAGGCCAGATCTTTTCAAAGGGCCACAGACACAAAAGACCAAAACTTCGCTTTGGTTCAGTGGTTTGTGGGAGTGTTAAAAAGCCAAGTCTGATTGAAGAGCTGTATGGAAGAAGAGAGAAGGATTTTAAAAAGGGTCCTGGAATCACCCCTCGGGCAAGTAGAGTGACACCACCCGCCATCGGCCACCAAACACCCCGACCTCTCAGGCAGCGGTTTATGTCACTGGTCTCCATTTATCTGTATTTTCCCCACACTGACCCTTGACAGTTGTCCCCTGGTGATTAATGAGTGCCATGGTTCTGATCCCAAACCACCTGCCATGCATCTGGTCAGCCGCCTGGAGAGTGGGTATGTGGTCAGACAGTGCGAATTTCTCTGAGTAGGCGTCTAAGCAAAAGGCGTCATGGGAACAAATGCTCACCAAAGGCAGTGGTGGCACAGGCCATGCACCTTAGACAAGGTGGAGAGTCTTCCCCAGGCCATGTTCCCATCATGAGTACCAACTGCTAGTTGCCCGGGATGAGGTGGACAGTAGCTTGGCTTTGTGAAAAGGGCAGCTCTGTGCTTCTTTGCACTTGTCACTGAACAAAAGGAAAGGGAAGGAGACCGGATGAGATTCACCCATTCACCGATTCCTGTGCATTTCATTTACTCCTCTATCCCTCCACTAAGTAAACATTCATTGAGCATCTACTGTGCCAGGCCGGGCTGGGCCCTGGAGAGCTCACAATAAGCCAGATGTGGTCTTTGCCTTCATGGAGCTGGGAGTCTACCAAGGAAGAGAAAAGCACCATTAAATAACCACGAATTGAGGCAAAGGGCTGGGAAGACGATAAACAGGACCCCTTTGCCAGGAAACCATCAGGGGAGACTTAAACGGCTTTGACAGTCAGAAAGACGTCTTTTTGTGGGCATGGCATGTGGGTTCCTTTTGAAAGACGAGAAGAAACTCATCCTGGGGTGTGGGATGAGGTTATGGAAGAAGGGTTTTCCACACAAAGCATCAGGAAGAGCACGTGCAAGAGCCCTGAAGTAGTGAAGAGATGAGGGCCGTCAAGAAATGAAAGAAACCCAGGTACAGCTAGCTCATGTCTGCAGACAAGGAAGAGAGCAGCAGGCAAGGCCAGACTGTGCAAGGCCGTGTTCCTTCCTCCCCAGCCTCCTACCGTCCTGCAAAGACTTTGGAAGAGTGTGCCTGAGAAAAATTGGTCAAGCCCAGTGGAAACAGGGTAAGGGGAAAGTGAGCAGCAGAACAGATCAAATTACTGGTCTCATATTTTCACTTCCCCATATTCCATTCGTTC